AATATTTTAGTACTGAGAATGCTCTTGGTATCAGCTTCTGGCCTTGTTCCAGTTCAAATAGTGCTACAAAATTGCCTGGCATGTATTTGTGATGTAGGTAACACAGTTTGGGAATGGTTATATTAACATCAAGAGCTCAATTTTGCTTGGATATGTGACTTGTTAGATAGCTGAGCAATGCTGTAGAAAACAGGAAATAATACATCACCCTAAGAAAGCAGGCAGTAATCTCTTATACTTCGATTTTCATTAGTTTCCTTTTGTGTGTCTGTTTTAGAAAATATGTGCCCTGGAGTATGATCAGTCTGGTTTGAAGACTTTTATCAATAGATCACCTCTGTTCATCTTGCTTATTAGGTGCCACCTAAAAATACACTTCCTTGCAGTTCAGTTCTCCTCATAGTAGCCTCTTAGATGAAATATAAAAATTCCTTCCGTGACCTGGTTTTGACTGGGATAGAATTAATTTTCTTCCTAGTAGCTGGTGCAGTGCTGTGTTTTAGATTTAGTGTAAGAATAATGTTGATAACACACTGATGTTTTAGTTGTTGTTAGGTAGTGCTTATCCCAAGTCAAGCACTTCTCAGTTTCAGATGCTCTGCCAGCGAGGAGATGCACAAGACACTGGGAGGGAGCATGGCCAGGACAGCTGACCCGAGCTAGCCAAAGGGATGTTCCATAGCACAGGACGTCATGCTCATATATAAACTGGGGTGAGTTGGCTGGAGGGTGGATCACTGCTCGGACAGTCAGTGGGTGGTGAGCAATTGCATTGTGCACCATTTGTCCTTCTTAGGGTTTATTTCTCTCTCTTTTGTTACCTTCCCTTCATTGCTACTATTATTATTATTATTATTACTACTATTATATATCAATTATGAAACTGTTCTTATCTCAACCCATGAGTTTTACTTTTTGTTTCTCCCCAATTCTCTTCCTCATCTAACCAGTGGAGGGGCAGTAAGCAAGTGGCACCGTGGTGTGTAGTTGCCAGCTGGGCCTAAACCACAACAGTCCTTTTTGGCACCCAGCATGGGACCCAAAGGGTTGAGATAACAACAGATATGATCAGAGTGTGTTAAAACAAATTTGAGTATTCGTTGTATTGGTTTAATAGTCACTGGTTACAATATTGATTGATTTGTTCTCAGAGTTGTTATTAGATCTGTGTGGTGTAACACTCTACTTGCTCACTGCTGTGCTGGTTATCAGCTCTGCACTCTGGATCGAGGGTATCAGCCCGCTGTACTGTGTAACACTGACCGTGAAACCAATCTGGTATTTGTAGTCAGCATTACCATCATCTCTGTACCTCGGGTGCCATCTCCTGGAGATTATTAATAATTACACTTTTTACTTTTTCAGGGAGCCAACCTATGGAGGAGACATCTTCCCATACCTTCCCTTTCTATGTCAGGCTAATTAAATAGCGTTTGAGAATTTTGAAAATTTTTAATATTCTTGGGCTATTAAAGCCAACATGATCCTATTGCTATGTCTCCTGAATGTGCAACAGGCCTTGTTTAGTGTTAAAAAAACAGGAATACCTTAGTGACAGGCACTGCAGCTACTCCAACCTCCACAACAGGTACTGCGACTACTCAAACCCTGGTGACAAGCACTGTGGCTACTCAAACTCCCCTGACAGGCACTGCGGCTACTCAGATCCCAGCAACAGGCACTGCAGTTACTTCAACCCCCGTGACAAGCACTGCAGCTGTTCAAACCCCAGTGACAGGCAGTGTGGCTACTCAGATTTTGGTGACAAGCACTGTGGATACTTAAACCCCAGCAGTGAGTGATGCAGCTGAACCAGAGAATCAACCAGTGCCAGTCATCAATCAGTCATCCCTATACACAAGAAGAAATGGATGTGAAAGTCAGCTTGTCTAGAGTAAAGGAGGACAAAGCAGGGCCACCACGAGAACAAGAGGAAGAGGCAGAACAAGAGATAATCACTTGATATCTATCCCTGCATGAGCTGTGGAATATGCAAAAAGATTTCAGCCATTGTCCAGATGAACACATTATCACCTGGCTGCTCTGATGCTGGGACAACAGGGCCAGCAGCCTGGAATTAGAGGGTAGGGAAGTCAGGCAGCTGAGCTCACTTTCTAGGGAAGGGGGCATTGGCAAGGCAATTGGAAAAGGCCTCTGGAGATTACTCCTGTCAAGTGTGAAGGAAAGGTATCCCTTTAAAGAAGTTATTATGTGTCACCCAGGCAAATAGACCACCATGAAGAGAGGTATCCAGTACCTGAGGGAATTAGCCATGCTAGAGATGATTTATTATGACCCAGACAAGGTGCAATTACCTGCAGATCTAGATGAAATCCAATGCAACACAACCCATGTGGCAGAAATTTGTAGAGCACGCACCATCACCATATGCCAACTCATTGGCAGTACTGGCCTGGAAATACAAAGAGGCACTGCTGGTGGATTAAGTGGCTTGCCAGCTCCACTCTTTCTGCCTATAAGGTCATGCACTGGCTAATGCAGGAGACAAATTGCGGTACAGATTAGCGAATATCTTACACTTAGGAGGAGAGAATTTCAGGCATTTCTGTTTGTTTTAGGATCAATGCAGAATTTGAAATCCTCTTGCAGGGCCTGTAAAACGCTTGCTGTAATGTTAAGTATACTATTAACGACGTCAAAGAAGCTATTTTCTGTAATGCTGGCGCAGTCCAATATAGCTTGTACTGAGGCATGTTTGGCAGCTTGCCTCAACAAAAACTGAATCAGAGCCAAAGTGCCTCTTTCAATTAGCTATATGCTTTTAGTATAACCTTGTAAAGAATGACTTGTAAAGAATGACTTGCAAAATAATTAATAAAAACACACTGCAGTTCTTTAATGACTGTGAGTACTTTCAAAAACAGGCTTATATGACTATTCTTGTTTACCAAATGAGAAGGAGGAAACATGAAAAGACACAGTGACTTGTCCCACACGATGGCATTGCTGGGAATGGAAACTTTATCTTCACTGATGTGGAAAAGACAAAACTCCCCCCATGTGGCCTTGAACAAGTGCCTAGTTGTGGGTTGGACTGACATTGGGGAAATGGGGTCAGGCTTTTTCTTTTGGCGATGCAGACATTTTATGATCATTTTAAGTCACAAAGTGAACTACAACCCTTGATCTGTTTAATCACCACTTTACATATGACTGTAAATTATGTCAGTTGCAATTTCTGAACACAAGACACCACCTCAGTGTTTTACCTCTACTTAATGAAAGACAATAGGTTCAAAAGACCACAGAAAAACAACAAAACTGGTATCAGTCAGTCTTGGAAAGCTTATTTTCCTCTGTATAACTTTAATTACATTAATCTTGAAAATGCATCATTCCAACTGTAAGTTGTTTTCAAAAACCTTTCTTTGAAAGCTAGGGGCTTTTCTGGAAAATGTTTTATTGTATATTTTATAAATATCAGTTGTCTCTGTAAGAAACGTGCTCATTTTACTGTTTTTCAGCACTGTAACCTGAATTGATAAAATACTGTTCTGAGGGGACTGTTACACATACATTCACGTTCTTTTTCACGGGCCTTCATACTTTTTTTCCACGTTTATTAACACAGTCTTGTTTTCAACAGCGGCGCCTTTGCCACTGAAATTGGGAATAAACCTCTAACACCAATGTAGCATTAGGAAGTGGGCATTCTTTTTACTGCAGCACTGGGTGCTCAGGGGATCACTCCAGCTAAAATGCATGTCGAAAGACAAAGGCACACTCATTATATGCAATCAAAAAAATAAATATTCATCTGAGAGGTACCTGTCTGCTTCCAGGGAATCTAATGCATATGTTAATACATTGTGCAAGTGTACTAAAATTTGGGGAAGGGTCTCTGAGGACCTTCCATGGGGGTCTGTGGTGGTCTCTAGTGGTTGTTGAAGAGGTGTCTCAAGTGGCTTTTCCATCAACTCTGAGTCTTTCATACAAGGTCTTGTCTTGGCTCATTGCTCTGTCTGTGAAGCTTCTCAGGTTCTTTATCTTGCTTTCCACAGATATCTGCTGGTTTATCTGCCCTCCTCGATATGTACACATCACAGTTGCAAAAATTATGCCCCTGGGTGCGCTCTTGTCTGAGGCCCCTTACACCAACTGGCACCGACTGCTTGCAGGCAGCACCTCCAGCAGCTGAAAGCCCAGGTAAACGCCAACCGCATGTCCCATAGCGGAGCACTGACGGTATCTTCACCCTGCCACGTCTAGTAATTACAAATAAGTCGGCGTTAAAGGCGAATTTCAACACCTTAACTGTAATTTTGACGGCACAGGCACGGAGCGCGGCGCGGCTACCTCCCCGCCGTGGCGCGCAGCCCCCGGCCGGGACCGGGAGGTGCCCTCACCCCGGCCGGGCAGTGCGGGCCGCCCGTCAGCCCTTCTAGCCCGGGATCCAAACCTCTGTTTCGGGATGCGAGCCTCTACTCTGGTTGCACACCCTCAGTTTGTGGGACAAACTCGCCACAAAACTAAGCTGGGGGAAGCAACACAGTGCTTCCAGTCAGTGTAGGCGCCGGTATTTAACTACAATACCCGTTCTGGAGTTAGGGGTTTGGTGACGTTTTAAATTTAGATGATTTTTTTTTCCCTCTACTACATGAGTCTGTGCCGTTTTACTGGGTGTCAGTGTATTTAAGGTTCCCCAAGTATTGCCAGTCTTTTATGGGTAACAGAGTAACTTTACGTAGTGCTGTCGTACCCACTTCTGTGTCCTGACAATTTATTTCTGTGTTTATATAACAGATTTCATGCTTTAAAGGCTATGATAAATAAAGAACATTATCAAGATAATTGAAGCATCATACCCTTTGCATTTTATTGAGCTTTTCTGGCCGTGTCTGCCTATTTAGGACCAAGGCTGGAAGAGGCAAGGACCATTAGAACAGGATGATTGGACTGGGGACTCATGGATCATGTTAATTGCTCAGGGTTTTTTTTCTGCTGTTTCAGTGCTGTTTTTTTTTAATGGTCGTTATCTAATCTTTCTGAATCTGCAGGTGTTACAAAACTGTTACGCAGGCCATCACTTAAGGACTGAAGCACTTAAGTAGGAAATACCCAGAAGGCTCTAAAAGGGGTAGGGCTCAAAAAGGAAACAGACTCCCAAAACTCAGAACACCATTGAATGAATTTGTGGCTTATTCGGGGTGTATCAGAAATAATGTATGATATGCTGATTTGTATTTCACATTGCTTATGAAAGTAGAGTAGAAGATAACATGTATTGCTTCATAATACTTAAAAATACAGAAGACACTTTTAAATGACTTGCTTATGTAGCATCAAAACCATTTCACATTTGTGTTGGGAATAAACCCCTAGAACAAAATATGGAGGACTAAGATACAGAAAGGATTGATTCTGGGTTTAACATTCTAATCTAATTTAAGACATTCAAAGCCATTTAAACCATACTTAAAAATAAACTAAGCTATATGTCAGTAGTCTTCTGCAGTAAATTACAGTGAAGATTCTAGTATTTTTAAGTAAAAAGACCCTGAGCTGTACACCTTATTTGAGAGTGTGCTTGTGTGTAACCACACCATTGCTTTTCTGAGCCTTTCTGTACAATGAGGTCAGTGTCTAAATGTGGAGTCTTGTATATGCATGTATCTTTCAAGACTGAGGCTCTGTACTTGTTAATGTTTTTTATGTTATGCCTTTTTGATAATCACAAAATGTGGGTAAATAAATTGGTAACTTAATCTACATTTTTCATACTTTTAAAATTACCTTTTTTTTTTTTTCCAGACTAAAGTATAGGACAAACTTCCATATTCTAGCAAGGGGAAAACCATGCAGTCCAGAACAGGGGGAGCAGAAAATTAGAATTTGTAAAAAAAAAACAGCCATAATAATTTTTGTGTTTAATCTCTCCTTTTGGTAGGCTGTATATCTAAGAGAAGATGGCAGATCCTTGGCAAGAATGTATGGATTATGCAGTTGCCTTAGCAAGGAAAGCTGGGACGGTAAATATAAACTATTGATAAGTAATAGTATTGTCTGTTGAGTCGAGTATGTATATAGCTTTAGAAGGAGTTTGGAGTTGGATATTCTTCTGAGGAGTATTTTGTCAAAAACATAAATTAGCAGAATCATTGAGTGATGGTCAAGTTGAAGAATGGAGTGTCTTTCATATTTACAGCTCGGTTAACTTAAGAAAACAGCTTTGTACTTCTCTTTGGACCAGAGTTCGATTAAAGACTAAGGAGTATCTTTTGTTCTTAAATTTGATTTTTAAAAAAAAAAATCTAACAAAGCAACTCTGTTTTTTCCCTTAAGCTTCACCTGTCTACCTTATTATTTTACTATGTGAAAGCTGTTGACAGTCTTTCTTGCAAACACCTCAATCAACTTTATACAGTGACTTGTTCTTGGTACAAATTACCATATTGTGATCTCTTCATAGACTGCTTTAGTTCTGTAAAGAAGAAGCATCCCTTGCAGTGGCAGTACTTTCCCTGTTTGTCATCTAAGATGGCTTAGAACAGGAAAGAGTTTGCACATCTTGGCAGAACTTCATGTAAATGTGGTTACCAAATGTTCAGTTCCTGGTAGTTCTGCTTGGTACATTTGAATGTTATTGCAGCCAAACAAGATGGCACACGTACTGATTCTGTCCCCTGGAGCTACAGAATCTGCAGAACATTGTCTCTGCAGTGACATCATTAAAATCTTCCCTTGGAAAATCTTTCTAAGTTAGAATAAAATAATTTTGTGGGCTGTGAGGCATGTGTTCTTTCTTAAGCTGATTTCTATAGTTTTTAGATCATAAATGCAGGGTCTGACTAAAAATAGCTGACCTAAACTCAGTCTTAAGTGTTTCATTCAACTCTGGTATTTAAATTTATAAATCTATAACTTGTCCTAACAAAATAGAGCTCAGTTTCGTGTACCAGTGGATCTTGTTGTAGTACTTGGATCTAAGGTCATGTAAAAATTTGTGCTGAGTAGGGTCTGGAGATGGATGCAAGGGTAAGCCCCAGCTCCTGCAGTTAAATCCAGGTTTTGTCACTACTTGTGGTTTGTATGTGCAGTATAGAAAATTACAGTAAAGAGGATGCTCAAATTTGGGGAGAAATTAATATTTTCCATACTGTTAATGGAGAAAGATTATTTTTTTTTCTTAACAGATAATCTGTGGAGCACTCAAAGAAGAAATATCTGTTATGACTAAAAGTTCACCAGTAGATCTAGTGACGGAAACTGATCAAAAAGTAGAAAACTTCATTATTTCTTTGATAAGAGAAAAGTATCCTTCTCACAGGTATGGCTACTTGACAATACACTTTTGATAGAAGGAGGAGAGAGGTGTCTGAAAGAAAAAAATGGGAAGTTTATGACTTTGCTTGGTGAAATTTCATTACAATTGGTATGCTGGAAAGTTACAGAATTCTCCCTTACCCTCAATATATTAAGTATTTCAGAGTACTGGTGGGGTGAAGTTTTGCTCAGAGCTGTAGTAACAAAACAAGGTGTCCCCAGGGTCTACTGACATGAGTTTAGCCTTGCTCAAGACTTCTGAAAGTCACTTCCAGTTGAACCAGCTGTAAATAACTTCTTGATTATTTGTGTTGGAGAATCAGAGGTGGCCCCAAGATACACAGAACCCAAATTTCTTGTCTGCTGTGGGCTGTTTAAACTAGCATGCCTTCACTGTCTTCTGGTGGGGTCCTGTGGTATTGAATGTGCCTTTGGCAAGTCTCATACAGTTTAAGAACATCAAGCATCCTTAAAAGAAGACAGAATTTTCAGATTCTGCATAACTGAAAGTCTATCATACAAAATACTGATTTTTTCTTATTGCTCTTCACTTTTTTCTTCCTCCCCCTGCCCCTCTTCCCCCCTAAAATAAATCTATTCTTGAAGGGTGAATTATATGTATTTTACTTACATGAGACTTTCTTTTTCATTTTAACACAAGGATTCAAGTTTAATAGTTTCCTTAAAGTGGGTTTGCTAAGTTTTCTTGCACTTTCTTGGAGATTTTCTTACTGTAGCTGTATATGTGAGATGTAATAAATATGTATGGAACTGGAACAACTGAGGTGATGCAAAATGTCAGTATCTTAATCAAATTAGTATAAGCATACAGACTTGTGGAATGACCTTGAAATAACAGTTTCTGTGACATTGATAAGCATTTTAGAATCTTTTATCTTCTTTTTATATTAGATAATTAATGCCACATGAGACATACTGGTATTGAATTTCTCTTTCTAATGAATTACTCATCCACCTAAAGAACTATTCAGTCTCTCTTTTTGTGAAGATCTGCTGCTTTCTGGAAACATGCTGTTTAATTCTGAGCAAAAATCTTCACTTCTATAGTTAATCATAAAACTTCTAATCAATATTAAAGGACCTTATTTGTTTGCTCTCAGCAGTTCTCATTTTACATGTTTGTGGAGGAAAGCATGTGTTTGATGCCTGCTTTTTGTAGGTTGAGTAATATGTGATAAATGTAATATGCAAAAGGCATAGAAGAGAATCCCACCCACGTAGACTCATCTCAACAATTTTGCAGTTCAAAACAAATACTTTTATGAGCAGCAAAAACTGTGAAAATTGACTTCCTATGGCACTGTGCCTTGTGTATCCCTTGGATTTAGCATTATGGTTGAGCATGTGCTCTGCTGTCTTCAGGAGGAGCTCTGGTTTGGATTCCATCCCTTTACCATGTTACCATTTTATAATGCTTGTAAAACTAAACAGGTTTGAGATTAACAACTTTCTCTCATATTTGGGTTGAAATCAGACTACAAATTTAACAGTTACTGCAGTGCTCTAACCAGATGCATATGACCACAAAGGCTTTCTTTAGTTAAAATACAAGCTAAAAAACGGTGGTTTGTAGCACAAATAAACTGAAAGGTGTGAACAGCTACAGCTATTCTGACCAAAATTTGGTGATGCTGTTACTGAAAAAAATGATGAAAACTTCAGTGAGATATTAAAATGTAAAGTTCTTTTCCCCACATACTGTGCTTATCTCTAAAATATTGCTGCAAGTTTGTTCAGATGTGGTAGTGCTTTCCAGATAAATTGTGTGTTTCGCAGCTTTTCACATATGATCTCAGTGATGACGTATGATCACTGGTGGTACAAAAACCTGCATCACACTTTAAGAATTTTCATGTCAAGGACAGTGTTGCAGTTCAGACATTTAAAACAATTTCTTTATATCTTTTAAATGTGTTTGCTACTGTAGCTTCATCGGAGAAGAATCTGTTGCAGCTGGAGAGGGCAGCATTTTGACAGATAATCCCACATGGATTATAGACCCTATTGATGGAACTACTAACTTCGTACACAGGTCCACATTTCATTTTTTTATGTTAGCAATTTCAGATTATTACCTTTTTTCTTTTTCCAGTTCCATGAAAGTAAGGGTTTTTTTCACTTTTAAATGGCTTTAAAGGGGATACTATGAATTTGTTAATAGTTACAAATCTCTATTTGCATTTATTGAGCATTACTGGGAAGTTTTTGTAACTCTGTAACCAACAGCAGGTGTTTATTCCATGAAACCTGTACTAAGCAGTGTGGGGGTCAGCAGCCTTTGGAGTCAGTGCCAAGGACAGGTGGGCAGATTTTAGCAGTAAAGCATCAGGACTCAGAGTAAGGAGTTGCAGCATTTTCAGAAGGTGGTAACATCTCTAGGTGCCGATTTCTAAGAAATTTCAAATTCATCATGATCTAGGAGCTGCTACCACTAAAGAAAGCAGAATATCAGCAGTAATTGTCTAGTGGTATTTTGCACCGGGATGAAGAGGGGACTTTCAGTGTAATGCTAACTGCTTGTTCCTTCTGTCTTTGAAATATGATGGATTTTGCCCCTGATGAACTTTTCTGAGCCTATTTGATTCCAGTTTTGAAATGACAGCCCCTATGTGTGACACAGCTTTAAACAGCTGCTGAATCCTGCTAAATAACATGTTCAAAAAACTATAAGAACAGAACCCATTCTGCTGGGTTACTTAAAAGTCTGTATATTTTTGCAGATAGTAATTAATGCAAATGTTTTGGAATTGCAAATTTTGAAGAGTAAAAAATTAGAAAAAAAATTGGTTAATTGTTAAAAAAATTAGATTAAGGTGCAGCCCACCATGTCCTATGTTTTTCCACTGCCTTCACTCTTCCCCCGGCATTCTTCCTTGAATATCTGTTGGTGCTTTGTTAGAGAAAGTGGAGGTGGGAGGGGAGGTGACTTGTTGCTTCTCATGAGACTATTTTGTGCCAGCTTGTTCTTCTGAGAAAGGTTAGTAGCATAGGGGCTTGCTCATATTCTTTGGCTATAAAATGACAGTGCCTAAGCTAGTAACAGCTGTAACAGAAATGGCAGTCCCTAAGCTGTAACGGACTTAGTTTCAGTGGGTGGAAAAGTTTGTATTTTAAATAGTAATTGGTGTTGTTGGGTCTGTTTTCATAGTAAATTTTGCAGGTTCCAGAAAACTAATACTTCCTCTATAGTCCAAGTTTCTTTTTGAAATACACATTACGTTTAACTGAATGTTGTTGTTATTAAGACTAAGCGTGGTAATGAAAGAAGCATAGTATCTCACTATAAATTAGTGAAATGTTTTGTTTTGTAGGTTTCCATTTGTGGCAGTTTCAATTGGCTTTGTTGTAAACAAAAAGGTATACTTTTTATTACTTAATATCTAATCAGTCAAAACCAAATTAATTCCTTGTTGCTAGTTAAAACTAAGATCTGTATTTTCACAGCAAATAGGAAGAAAGGGAAAAAGCCCTCAAGGTATCTTTACTGTTTCTTGCAGATAGAGTTTGGAATTGTGTATAGTTGTATAGAAGACAAGATGTATACTGCCAGAAAAGGAAAAGGTGCATTTTGCAATGGTCAAAAACTTCAAGTATCAGGCCAAGAAGGTAAGCTGAACTGAGTAGCTTATTTCTAGTAATTACATTTATTTTGCAAATGAGACAGTTTTTAGACCGGAATATATTCCTGTTTCTTAGCTCATGGTTTTGTTTTGCAGAGACAGGCTTTTTTTGGCCATGCATTGTTCAGTTTTGAGAAACAGCTTTTATGTACTCTTCGATGCATAGAACATGCTTGTGATCTTTGCAAAATCAGGTCTTGGAAATTGAAGATTTTATTCCGTTTCTCTGTATGTTGTGGTTTTTTGTTTGTTTTTAATTCCCTGTACCTCTGTAATCTGTCTATGATTGTTATTATAGAGTCTGTAACAGATCTACAGAACAATTCAACTTCTTCCAGGTGTGAACTAGTGGTTTAAATCAGTATCTCTCTTGTATACTTACTACCTTATGTAAAGTGAAATCCACATTTAAAGTGGAACTTTTAAAGATCTGAGGACTGTTCTAATTTTTATAGCAACAGAATATTATTTACTAATGACATCGATTAATGTATATGCACAATTGAACCAGATCATGCTTTGTTTGCTGTATTTTATTTTTTCCTGCCATTTTCCATGTAAGAACAGATTTTTATATATTCAATATATGTAATATACTAAAATGCCCTTTTTTCAGTCTTGTAAGAAAGCAATGAAGTAAACTCTGCTAATTATATAAGTTGTACTGTTGGAAAAGTGAGGGTTTGTTTCTTTTCCAGACATTACAAAATCCCTTTTAGTAACAGAATTGGGATCAAATCGTGATCCAGAGACTATAAAAATAATTCTTTCTAACATGGAAAGACTTCTCAGTATTCCTATTCATGGGTAAGTTACTTCCTATTTTTTATATTTACTGGTAGTATTAACATTGTAAATATGATCATTTTTAGGAAGGATTGGTTGCATTACATTTGACACCTTAAATGTGAAATATGATTTAAAAGTTTTTGTCTAGTAGCTTCTGCAGAGAAACTCTTAAGTGTGTTTAACTTCAAGCTGGGACATATATAGGAGAACCATAACAATCAGTATTGAGAAGTGAAGCATGTTTCGTTTTGTAGAACTAAGTACTAGATATTACTAGAAGTAATTACTAGAATATTACTAGAAGTAATTACTAGAATATTACTAGAAGTAATATTCTAGTTTAAAAAAAAATACAATTCTGTGTGCTTTTTTTTATTCCAGAAATACAGGGAGTAAAACTGGATAAACAAAAGCTATAATTTCTTAGTTTCCTTTCCTTGTAGTAATGAAAATTGTTGGGGTTTTTTATATATATCAGAAGACAAAAGTAGGTCTCCCTTTTCTCTTTCAATATGGTACAATTTTTAAGAATTTGTCCAAGTAGCTGAAATTGTCCATAAACTGTTCTTATTTTGGTTACATTCCCTGCTTCCTCTCTTCCAGATAAGCCAAAGCCTACATTTCCATAAACCGTTTTACATCTAAAGGTGGTTTCATTGGACAGGTTTTTATTACTCAACCCTACTCGTGTTTCTGATCTAAAAAGGGTTGTAGTTTTATGCTGAGATTCTCAGGATTCTTGTTTTGATGCTTAACATATAGATTTTTTTTTTTTTTTGTACTTTCAAAAAGTCTTCTGATGTCATTAAAGATTATATGCTAGATTTTAAGTAGGGAATATGCTTTAGTATGTTGTCAGTTCAACTTTGGTATTTTGTTTGTAAACAATAAAATGAGATTTGAGTTTAAGTTGTTTCTTGCACTAACTTAGCTGCTATCCGTTACAATTTAATGTGCATTCTACTGATAATTGAAATAACTGCAATTTTTTTGTACAATTCATGCTTACTTACTGAATGCATCAATATTTCCAAAAGAAACTGGAATTTGTTACACAAGTGTTTGATAAAGTTATCCAGGCTAAACTTATGCTGTGTAGTTTATTTTTTGTGATTACTGCTGTCAGGGTTTTTTGCAAGTCAGAGATGCTTACTGAGCATCACCAATGAAACTGTTTTTTCAACACTGAGAACAGTGTACATTCTACTTGAATTCTTGTATTCAAAAAGCAAAGCAGAATATCTGTTATTGTTTTGTGGGTAGATAGCTTCTATAATATGTTTTAGGTTAAGAAGTTGTTTTAAGATGTGTTTTCACTCTAAAACAAAATTGTGTAACAGAATTCATAAATGTAATTTCTGGAAATTTGCTATATTTGGAGACCTCTTCAAGCTACTTAAGCAAGACTTAATTCCCAATTTTTTATTTTTTCACTGCAGCATTCCGTCACATTTTCTCTCGCTCAGTTCACTTTGCATGTGATGCTTCTGTGTTCTCTGTGAAGTGTACACACACTGACTTTCTTACAAACTGTTCTCAATTAAAAAAACAACTGTCTCCTTTAGGATTAGAGCCGTTGGTACAGCAGCTGTGAACATGTGCCTTGTGGCAACGGGTGGAGCTGATGCCTATTATGAAATGGGGATTCACTGCTGGGATATGGCAGGGGCTGGAATTATTATTACTGAAGCAGGCGGAGTACTGCTAGATGTATCAGGTAAATACACAGGCATGCATAATGCTCTCCTTCTAAATAGCTAACTGGGAGCAAAACATAGCTGAAAGGAGAAGGCAAAGAGGTTTTTCAATCCTTTTTCCAAGTTACTACTACTGAAGAGTTCCTGTCCAGTTAATAGATAAAGAGTCAGTCAACTGTATGTTCTTCAGCTACAAGATAACCTTTACTCTCTTGGCTGAGCATCTGGAAGAGTGGAAAAGACAGTAGACATACACTGAAGAGAATTTAAATGTAGCTCATATGAGATACCTGTTGTGTTAAATGCATTTTTATCCAGGGGCAAAACTTGGTCCTAAATAGTAATATATCATTTACGCTTGATTTTTTTTCAGTGCTCGTTTTCTTCCCAACTTTTAATTTTCCCCAGATGTAAGCTAGTTACTTTGCTTGCTTTGATTTCTAGGTGGACCATTTGATTTGATGTCTCGAAGAATAATTGCCGCAAGTAGTCGAGCTATAGGAGAGAGAATAGCCAAAGCACTTCAAATAATTCCTCTGAAAAGGGATGATGCAGCTAACTGAATACCAAAACGACACGTTAAACGTAATTATATAATGTCTCGTACTTCCATGTGGTGGTTATTCTACACCTTAAACCTGATAAAAAGATAGATAAATAAATGGTAGTCTTTCAGTACTGGTGTGACTGCTTAAGTAGTGTTTTGAGATTGGACCAACATTCTAAGTAAGCTCTCACTGTTAGTATTTTATTTAACATCATGATTACATAAAGATCTATAAAAAGAAGCAAATATAACAACTCATATTTTCAAGCTTTATACTACACTGGAAGATATAGTAGAGACTTTTTGATATCTAGATAAATAAAAATCTCTAGTTCTGTAAGTGAAAAAACAAAATTCATCATCTTAACACCACATCATCACATCTGATTCTGAACCCAAAAAGGTGAAGGCATTGTTTGTCTGATCTTTATCTGTCTCATCTATTGTTTTCTTTGGTGTCATCAATGTATACATTTCCTTACCTTGTTACAGTTTTTGTAGAGGTTGTTCATACATTTCCAGATTGTAAAAAGTTGCTTGTAGTTTTGGCTCTAATTTAAAACCTTTATTACTTAGCTGTCATTGTCTTTGTAGTCATTGTTCTACCTTTCTTATGGTAGATAAACATAATATCCTCTTTAGGGTGTTATGTGGCCAGTACGATTGCAAATTCATTATAGTTGCAGAAGTAATAGTTATTGGTGCCAGAAAATACATGCATCTCCCAGAATGAAGTTCTGAGCACACGTTCTATCACCAAATGGACTTACTCTAAATTAAGATGAAGTATGATTTGCGTCTGACTGTTGGAATCGGCTGATATCAAGTCCTCTATCTTATTCTTGACAGTTGTAATTCCTGTTAATTTTGCTTCTCCGTGGATGAGTGTGTTTCAGAGTCTAAGGAATCATTAAAATCCAAGGGAGTTTTCAGTAACTCAGCTGGCAAAAAAGTAAGCCCATAGTACAGATTTTTTACATCATTCTCTGTAAATTGTGAAAGGAGTGACCTGGATCAGGTTTCCATTGTTTTAGAGTATGCAGGCACAAAATAATACCTATCTAAACCTAAAGGGTTTATAAATCTAAAAAATACTAGTAATTTCATTCTTGGTGTCAATGTGTTTAAACTTTGAACACTATACTGTTTTTTTGAATTTTTGTATTTAAGATTGTTAGAAGTATCAGTGTACTGTTCAAACAAATAACGTACTTTTAAAAAAAAGATTTAACTTACAGCAGTTTTTAGCCTGATTTTTCCATGTGTAAAGTTTCTTAAAGAAAGTTGTCTCATTGATGGTCCAGTCAAGACACAGCAATGCTTTGGAAAACCTGACTTTGTACTGCTGTCCCACTTTTTATTTTGAAAAATGATGTTGTCTTGTCTTGAAGTTTCAGCAGATCTATTACTATAAATTTCAGTCTTTCATATCATTTGATTTTTTCAGATTTTGCAGAAGTACTTAATTTGAAATTGTATCTAATGCCAGATGATTAATGGTAATGAGATCAGCCTACTATTTAAAGGTCTTGTAAAAAAGCCAAATTTAGATTAATTTTACTTTTAAAATCCCCATTGACAAGGAAATTTTTTGAGCATTTCACTAACTTTATTGCTGTAAATTATGTGGGATCATCATTATTTCTTAAGCAGTATGTCTACTGTACCATTTCTGTGGCTTTTATATAACAAATTCTGCATAATTTTTTTAATCAATTTATTTGTGAAATGGAGACATGTCTAAAAAGTACTGGAGATGGGAGAACACATTCAAAATAAATATGCTTTACCAGCTGTGGCTTCAGATGTACTTCCTTCCTTTCTTAATGTTCGTAGGTGTACAATGCTGGGTCCCAACAAGCTGGATTTGTGGGCTTCAGACTTTGAGTTGAACACTTTCTCTTCTTGGCCTCTGATGTACACAGATCATAAATTGCTGTGCCTTTAGATAAGTTAAATTATGTATATACCTGCAGTAGGTTTTTAGAGTAAATATTTTAACACCTTCCAATGAGATTGTGGTGCATTAATCATCTCCAACCTCAAGAGCTCAAACTTTGCGGTTTAGCTTACCTGTGATTTGTTTTGGAGGCCCATCAGATGGTTGAAGCATGTAGCTTTTTCACTGTTAGCTTTCCTACTGATGCTCTTTGAGGAAAAATTTATATGAATTTCCTGTCTTGGGGAAATCCCCTCTCACTATTTGCATTGGAGACCAGCCTAATTGTTTTTTACTGTAAATGGCAGCTTTTAACAATTGTCTGCTTTCTTTTCAATTTCAGTCTCCCTTTCAGGGGACTCAGAAATCACTGTTGTTTGCTACTTTGCCTAAGCATTATCTTATCAGATAACTCTTTGTCTAATATATGGCCACTTCTTTCATCATGTGAAAGGACACCAAAATGTAATTATTAAGTTTAATGGCATTTTCTTTTTGGTTCTATGCTAGACCACAATTTTGATAATTTTTTGTAGTAAAACAGAGAAGTCATGATTGCTGTGTAATCAAAATACTTTTGAGAGATCGTGTGTGAGATGTAGAAAAACAGTGACACCTGGTTTTATTGCTTTGAAAGGTGGAGTGACAGTGATAAACATTTTAGACTTTTTTTTTTAACTTTAAGTTATATATTTACAATACAGCTTTTTCTGAGCAATGAGACAGTTGGAAAAGAAAACCAGTTACCACAGATTGAACAGATAGACTGTCAGATTCAGATTATGAATATTCCTCACGAAGACATCAACAGTCCAGTATACAGGAAGCTTTTTTAATAGTTTTTCAGTGAGCAACTCATGACTTCAGATGGCAAATTCTACTACGGTTTGAATCTCCAACTCTGAGTGAAGAACACTCAAAACTCAAAAGTGCAAAAAGGAGATCAGGTGGGCAGATTCAGCAACTAGAGCAAATGAAAATTTCCAGTAAATACTACTGGAAATTAAAGGACCATATGGGCAAATTTAACCAGCCCTTTCACCTGTACTTTGAGAATTTGATGGAATGGTCAGCATCATCGCAGTAGTTGCTATAGAGCCTAATGCTATTCTTAACAAAGGCCTTCAGAGTAGGGGTGCTGATTTCTAGCCCAAGACTAAAACAATCAGTGCTACAAAATGTTAACATTTTTTTAGCACTGATATGTATGAAAAATGGGTGATAACCTTAGTCTACCATCCTTGTTATCCCCATTCACTAGCCCTCTCCATTTATTGATTAGCTGATAGCTTGTGATTGTTTTCTGTGGCAGTCTGCAAAGATTTTCTCCTTCAAAGCGCAGGGTATTCCAATAGATTCAATCATTCAGAACTTTTTCCAGTGTGAAATACTGCAAAACACAGTTACAAAAGGCTTGAGGCTCTTGTCCAGCCTTTTTAAGCAGTCCTGTGGAAGATCCCTACCCACACCCTAATGTCACGTGGACTATTTCTTATATCTGTGACCTAAAGCTATGTTTTAATTCTGCATAGTCTAATGCCTAGGCATGAGCTAGACATTCTGACTAGATGTAAAATGTCAACCTGTGACCTTTATGTGAATCAATGTAAGTAAGGGAGATCTCTTTTTTTTCTTTTCCTGAGCTTCTTGCCATCGTCAAAGCCAGCTACTAATTCAGCTTTATTTATTACCTGTGAGTGAAGTAATTGCATCACAAGTCTGATCCTGTTGCTAAACTGCTGACAGGCAACTTTCCAACAGCACGTTGGTTTTGGATCTACAGTGGTTGGCATGGCTTCCTTTGTTTGCACAAGCTCCAGGCATCAGAAGGATATTGTCAGCGAAGTGGCACCTCAAGAGTATCTGCCAGAGCCAGTCAGCCAGATTCCCGGACAACATAATCTGTTTGATCTCTGGATTACTGCTTGTCCTGCACCAAAAGTGACAGTGAATGTAGTCTGTCAGATCACTCTTGGATTTGTACAAGCTTCACACAAAGATCTGCAGCTTCTCAAAGATCATCAGGAGCTTCTGAAACGTCCTCTGTGCCCGCTGTCCACTGTGTGCCTGCTACAACATCAGGGCAAACAAAATCTGACACACTTCAAAGCCATGTGCAACATCTAGGACAAACAAACTCGAGGACTGTGCTCAGCTGAGAGCACATTATGCCACTCTATTATAAAGATCTAAAAACTTGCCTGCTTGTGGAGGATGGATTAGGTCTCCCACAGTAGAGCAGAAATAATTTCCTAGCGCAATTCAAGCTAGTAAGATGCTAAAAATAATGGTGCATGTACATCCTTTTCCAGAAGCTTGTCATAGACTGTGTTGATGACTGCTACATTAGCTTGAGTTTATACATTGTGTGTCATACTTACTCTTGGTTTGCACAGTTGCAGCAATGATTTTTACACTGAAATGATTCTCCCTACACCAGTGTTGCTTTAGTTAGGAATCAGGCCTTCTGTAGGCCTGTTTAAGTGAATGGAAAAGAAGCCCAAATACAACAGCAACTAGTGTACCACAGCACTAAGAAAGAACAAAAGCCTACTCCTTTTTTATGCACTGGAAGATTGAGGTTTATATTTTGTTACGTCTATCCTTAGCTCAGTAGAGACCATGTTTACAACCATGTAAAGAAGTTAATTCAGAGAAAGTGATGCTACCTCAAATACTCGAGAAACAGTTTTGTAGACCTTCATCCTCTGCTCTCCCTTGGAGAGGTGGTTCTGTACTATTTCTGCCTGTGCACGGAGTTCAGTCCCGGAGGAGGTTGAGGCAGCCTCCGAGGAAGCTGTGCTCTTCATCGTGCCTGACAAAACACTAGATGGCAGCCGGAGCCTGGAAAACACCAGAAGGCCCAAGGTTCTTTTTTTGTTGATCAGATTCCTTTTTCCACTTCTCCCTTCCATCCTCCTGCTCTCTTAATTGTTGTTGGATACAACTCAGAGCATATCTGAGAATTATTCAAAAGAATTATACCACAATTTTTTGAGGACATGGGCTCTGTGTTTCTGTGATGACAAGAAAATTGAAACAGGACTTGTGTCAGCAGCATTAACATTCCCTCCTTTTCAGTGTAAGTATATTGAAGATGTATAATCTATGACAAGAACATGAATCTGAATTCTAAAATCAGATAAAAGCTGTACAGATGATCATATTGTACTGCATTTAAGGCGTACTCATCTCCCCTAGATTTTCCTGTCATAAATTAGGACATGGCTCTTAGAAGCCTTCTTTTAAACCTACCAGATAATCTTCTTGGCAAGCATGCGTTAATCTGCATGCAGATCCAACAGCCCTGGGACCATAAATGCAGCCACTAATGAGCATCTCTTTATGATCTTTAAGATGGAACTGTTTTATTTTTCAGAGAGAACTCAAGCCCAGTATTTTACCTTCAAATGTGTTGTGATGACATAAAGGAACTTTACCAGCTGTGTCGGCATTGTCCCTATACTGCACAGCATATTGAGACTATATCTTTCAGAACCTGTTCAAGCATGGATAGGTATAGGTAACTCATCCCCTTATTTCATCATTTCACAGGTCTGTGTGCTGCATCCTAGAAAAAGTTTCTCTGTATTTGTGACCTTGCCCAGGAAAGTAGTGGCCTAGAGATTAAATGGGAATGTATTACAGACAAGATGTTCACTATTTATGTCAGTGTGGCTGGTTAAAGATTGCCTCAACAGTGTTCTCAGGAAAAGACTTTCCTGCCCTCCCTGTCATACCTCTGGAGATGCCCTGCTAGAGCTCGCCATCCAGAACACGCCCAGCGTTTTATCGTGCTGCCAAGCACATCTGCACAGGCTGTTGGGCAGGCCCCAAGGTACTCTGCTTCCTAATAGTGGCAAAAGGAGAGGTATGTCCCAGAGTGGCTGCAATGCGCTTTCAGTACAAGTTGAGGTGGCTTAAAATGAGTGAGTTACTTTAGCATGGGTCAGCATGATATAACTCTCTTCTAGTGTGACTTCTTTATGATGTTTTCTTGTTTGAGAAAGTTCATTCTTTTCCAGCTCTCATGCTAAACAGATAGGGTGACATCTGTATAGTTTTTCTGTATAGCCATGTAGAAAGCTTCTGTAGAGATTCTCAGTTTTCTACAGGTTTTCCAGAATACATAAAAGTTAAGTCAGGTCTAGGAGTTCATCAGAATGACTTCAGTCATTAGTAATGGCAGAAAACTGCACATTACTGGATGTTTGCATTGGACTCTTGTAGGCAAACAGCTAAAAAATGCTAATTATTTTCACCTCACTACTGAAAGCTAAAAATAATAAAAACTCCCTTTATTTCTGCTTCATTATACTTGAAATTGTGATTACAGTTCTGAACAGTCCTCCAGTCAAACACATTTAAAAGAGAGTAATGGTTAATGTTATTAGAAATTCCTGTTTCAATATTTATTCAGGTGTGATTAGCAATGTATTAGCTGTGTAAAAGTAAATTGTTTCCCACTTCACGTGTGCACCTTGTTTGGCGCTCTCTGTTGAAATGGAATTCATAATGGCAAACTGTCATAGCCGAGTGAGGTTAAAAGCTTTACTTCTGTAGGCACTTAGATCTTAATAGCAGTTTCCACTGAAAGGAAGTGCAAACCCACACATAATGATTCCCATCAACAGCCATTTGTGTATCTGACACTGCAAAACACTGCTATTCCATCAACTGAATCAATTAAGAGAGAAGATAGGTTTTCCACTAGTGCACACTCCTGTTTGGTTGATTTCTCCTATTTTTTATTTAAATACAGGAAATAAATATACTAGTAGAACCAATCAGAAGTATTTCTTTCTGCCCCTTGTGTACCTGCCAACTACTAAGCCTAATACTTGATATTTTAGGAAAT